TGGAAATAACACTAACCTGCTTCCTGCTTGGTTTTTTGTTTGGGTGGCTTTTTTTTGGGGTGGGGGGGAGGGGAGGGTTTGTTTGGGTTTTTTGTTGTTTTGGTTTTTTTTTGTTATTGTTGTTTTGTTGGTTGTTTGGTTTTTTGGTTGTTTGGTTTTGGGGGGTTTGGGGTGTTTGTTGGGGGGTTTGCTGTTTTTTTTTTTCTCCCAAAAACCTCTGTCTCCTGCATGGAAAACTTCATGAACCATATATGTGCAATTGGTAAATACACAGGCATTTCATGTAACGTGGGCCAGCGAAGGACCAGATGTCAGCTGAAAAGAATGGGTTTCAGGAAAATATCATTTGGAAACCAAAACAAACAAATGACATATTTGGAGTTAAGCTGTTGGTGAGTAAATGTCAGAAACACAGCAACTGTACGTCAGCCTCCTGTTCCAAGTACCCACTGGTGGCTGGCAGAAGATACCAAAGGATTGACAACACATTGGGAGAGCTATAAGGCGCCTTGAGTTGTTTGTGTTGGAAGGGCCTGGAAGCATTCTGGAAAGGCAGGCTTCCCTGTAGGGCAGGGCTAATTCAGTTCAAACAACATGGACAGTATCATGAACCAGCGTCTGACTGTAATAGTGAGGATATTGTTTCTGGTGAGTCCTAACTGAATTATACTCATTTTAGCTTGAGCTTTGTGACTTTAGAACTGTTTATCAGGTTAAGTGATTTCAGAAACAGCAAGCACTGGTGGGGCAAAATATCTGGTTTCCTGAGTGGCTTTAAACAACTTTTTTTTTTTTTCTCCTGCCTGAATATTCAGCATTTCAGAAAATCTACAGAACTGTTCTGTTTCAGACATAGCTTTCAAGTTGTTTAATATTGATGGTCTAAACTGTGATTCTGTTACTGTTAGCTTTTACGCAAATATTCTATTTATTTTGCTTGCTTCCAGTTTTCCAGAGGTTAGGGCTTTGCTGGGCAATTGCAAATATATGGCCTGATTATGTAATATGAGATAAGCTAAAGAATAAGTTATTTACCAAGGGAGAGGAGAAAACATCCTGCATACCCCAAAGTGTACCAGTAGCAGTGGTGTGGTTGTTTTTCTCTGGCCACAGTGCAGGGCAATCTCAGTCTCCTCTTTAATGAAGAAAGAAATGCAGCAGAGCATCAAGAGTGTTGATATAGGTGACATACTTTTATAGTGGTACTGAAAGCAGGGTGGATTTATTGAATGGAGGGTCTTTTATTGATGATTCCACACAAGTATTTATCAGATTCAAGTTAGAAGCTGCTGTGAATCCTGACATCCATTGTAAGAAAAGTCCTAATGATTTAGATTTCACTCTTTATTACCTTGATCACTGGCAGAATAGGGCACCTATGGGTTGCTAGAGACCAAAGTGTTTACATGTATGAAGGATTTTCATAGAGACAGAAGATGAATCCCAGAAAGTGGATGCATACTATGCCTGCATTAGCAAGCAGTTCATCCTACCCAGTATGAATAACTCACTTCCCACATTATGTGTATTTCAGAGGTTTTACTTTTGTCTGCCTGTCTAGTTTATGCTGCTCATTGCATCTGAATACACGTTACAGTGCCATCTTCCAAACTGGATGTCTCTTGGATGAAATGACTTGTATTCTGAAACCTGTCTGTACTGAGAACCAAAAGGTGCTAAGTGGAGAAAGTGAGGAAACTCACTTCAAAAGCGTGCTCCCAACTCAGATTAAACCAGTGGTACATATATACCTCTGGGAACTTTTTTTCATGAACTCTTACATTCAGATTGTATGTTGAAAATACAAGGGTAGTGAAAGTAAGTGCTTTCCTTCCATTTAACATCTTTTGCCATCTATTGCTGAAGCAAACGCTCTCTATGTAGTAAGGCAAATTTGACCACTTGTCTGGCTGAAATTAATGAAGATGCCTTTTACATTTTCTTGATCAGAATTTATATAACGGATGACAATAGGTACTTCTTTCCATGTAAGGATAAAGAGGCCTGTGAGTTTTCATTGAAGAATGAGGCTGCTGTCCAGTTGTGACAAGGTATTTTCCCACCTTTCTTTTGTCCAGGTACCTTCCCCTACCCCACTAGAAATTAAGCACCGTTTGCTTCTATGGTGTCTTCTATTTAAAGGTCTGGAGGTTTCAGAAACCTCTACTAAATTTCATTATGGAGGAAAGGGCTTGTCTTTTTCTGCCTACCTTATGCAGAAACAGGTGCAGTAGCTAGGAAGAGATGTCTAGCTTTAGGTCTTGATTGTATCTAATAGTATGATCTTTCCTTTAGGCTTCTAAGTTTTCTTATACTTTCTATTACCCATTGAGAAAGGTGAAATCTACATTGGCATTGACCAGACAGTTCTTGGAGCAATAAAATAAGAGCTTGCTTGTTTTAGGGATCACACGAGAGAGAGTGGAGGAGGGGTGGTGGGAAGAGGAAAACCCCCTGGACAAACCAACCATGTACAGTTGTCCAGGTTTCCTTTTCCTCATTTCTCTTACCCCTGTGACCATCTTAATACCAATCCCTGCTAACAGATGAAAAGATGGTATTAATGAGAGATCAAGGAAGGGTAGGTGTAACATGCATTACACCTCTATGAGTGCGTGTGTGTATACGTGTTTCATAGGCTTGTTTCTCTGGGCGTGATATAGATGACTAAGACAGAAAGCAAGCTCAAGTCAAATGCACCCAAACAAGTTTAACAAACAAAACAGGATTATATAACTGGGCTGGTATGTGATGACTTGGAGGACTGTAATTACCTCCTAAAAACCAGATATATGGATAAACCTAATTATCATTTTCCATCCTCTTCTGTGTCATCTTAGGCAGCTGGTCTAGCGATACCATTTGAACTCGTAAATGGAAACACTAATGTATTGCAGCTCCAACCATTTATCTATTAAGAATAATAAAGAGCGTGAGGAAGAAAAATAGGCTAAGCAATGAGAACCCATTAATCTGAACCTCAATATGTGTGCAACCTTAATGTAATTTGAAAATGATAAAAATTCCCATGCAACTACCGAGGACAAAAGATGAAATAGATTGTCTCGGATAAATCTTGTGAAATTGTTACCAGTCTTTGGAAAGCTTGCTTTGCTTTTGTGTCCCTCTGGAGACTTTGGGGGTCTCTTGGGAATTTGGCAGAACATTTGCTGAGGTAGCATACACAAAACTAGGAATTGAGACGACAAAAGAGAGCATTTGTACAGTGAGTGAGGAGCTGTCAGGAAGAGAGCAAGAGGGCTGTGGGCTGCCAGGCAAGCTAAGGGTGGTAGTACAGTTTCCCAGTGAAATTTGCAGGTTCTGGAATGTGAATAAAATGAGGCTCAGGACAGGCATAGAAACCCCTGCAGTAGAGTCAGTAATTTTTCACGCTGTCACACAATGCTGATGGGCTGCCCTCTGCATTATGGGTGTATTGGTGACCTTATTAGTGTATATAAATACATAAAGGGGGAGTGTCACGAGGATGGAGCCAGGCTCTTCTCAGCGGCAAACAATGATAGGACAAGGGACAATGGGTACAAACTGGAACACAAGAGGTTCCACTTAAACTTGAGAAGAAACTTCTTCTCAGTGAGGGTGACGGAACACTGGAACAGGCTGCCCAGGGAGGTTGTGGAGTCTCCTTCTTTGGAGACATTCAAAACCCGCCTGGACACGTTCCTGTGTAACCTTATCTAGGTGTTCCTGCTCCGGCAGGGGGATTGGACTAGATGATCTTTTGAGGTCCCTTCCAATCTCTAACATACTGTGATACTGTGATAATAAGGAGTTTTGGTGGATGACTCCAGTCATGTGTGGTCAGTAAAGATGACATACAGTACCAAGCATGGAGAAGGGCTACCAGAGCATGCAGGGTGCTGGAGCTAAGGCTGATTTAACACAGCATCTCACTGTAATGTATTAATTGGAAAAACAGAGAAAAGAGTTAAGGCTAAACAGACCGTGTTTTTGACACAACCTGATCACAACACTGGTAACTACATTTCAGGAAGTTGGAATGGTTTGGTAATGAAACAATCTTTTAACATGTTGGTGTTATGCCGTGGTTATTCTTCACCAATGGCTTTCTACCCCTATTCTCCTAATTCATTGACCAGTTGTAAGAAAGCATTATTCTTGCTGCAGTACATCAAAGACCAAATAATCCAGTTATTTCAGGCTGCATGAAATCTGCTTTACTGATGTAATTGATGCCTGCTGCGTGGACTTGTTATGCTTGGGCTGCAACTTTTTTTTATGTAACAAAATAATAGAGAGGCTTTGGACCAGTTTGCTGCTCAGCCTGTTGAATTGGGTGAAATAGCCCGTCCCAGACATGGCTTTGAGCTATAAGAGGGTAGACTTTAGATATTAAGAAGAAATTCTTTCCTGTGATGGAGATGGGGCACTGGCACAGGTTGCCCGTGGAATTTGTGGCTGCCCCATCCCTGGCAGTGTTGAAAGCCAGACTGGATAGGGCTTTGAGCAGTCTGGTCTAGTAGATGTCCCTGCCCATGGCAGGAGGATTGGAGCTAGATGATCTTTAATGTCCTTTCCAACCTGAACAATTCTGTGATTCTGACAGGAGCTGCTGGACCTTCTATCACACTAAGAAACAACCCAGACTTATTTAGGAGTTCGGGAAGCCAAGTTCTCTGCTCCGGGGCTGAGCTGCCGGCTGGGGCAAGTAATTTCCTAGTGCTCCTGTCCTCGGCAGTGTGCGAATACAGCTGCTCGCCTCCTCTGGGCAGGAGCACTGAGGCCCGATCTGGTCAGTTCGCGCTACCGACGGCAGCTACACCGCAGCCAGCTCTGGAGGCGGCTTCTCTCCCCTCCGCCGCCAGCTGGGAAGCGGAGAGGCCTCGCTCCTCGCCCGGGAGCGCGGGGCGGCCGCCGCCGCGGAGGAAACCAGCCGGGGCTGCCGCCAGCGCTGGGCGTGCGGGAGGCGGGGTGCGCGGGGCGGTGGCCGGCCTTCATAGGGATCGAGGGGAGGCGGTGTCTGCAGCAGGGAAGGGGAGGGAGGAGGCGGTTCCCATTCCTATTCCTATTCCCGCCGTGCGAGCGCTCCCGGCTCGCTGTGTGCGGGGCTGGCGGCGGCGGGGTGGCCATGGCTTCCATGGCGGCGGCGATAGCCGCCTCCCGCACGGCCGTGATGAACGGCAACCGGCCGCTGGACGAGCGGGAGCGCAAGCGGTTCAGCTACTTCTCCTCGCTGAGCCCCATGGCGCGCAAGATCATGGCGGAGAAGGAGCGGATCCGCGAGCGCTACGGGCCCGAGTGGGAGCGGCTGCCGCCCCGCCAGCAGGACGAGATCATCGACAAGTGCCTGGTGGAGCCGCACATCCAGGCCCGCTACGCCGCGCACCGCGGGGCCGCCCGGCCCGCCGCGCAGCCCGCCTCCTACCCCAGCCTCCGCCTCAGCACGGGCCAGAAGGTGGTGCACTTCGGCGACGAGGTACCGCCGCGGCGGGGGAAGGGGCGCCGGGGCTCGCCCTCGCGTCTCAGCGCCCGGGCGGGGGCTGCGGGCAGCAGCCGGGCGCGCCCGGGAGTGGGGTCCGCTATGGCGGAGCCTGGGGGCGGGGGACGCGCCACAGTCCCGGCTTCGCGGCTGGTTCTGTTGGCGTGTGCCGGCGCGGCAGGCTGAGGGGAGGGACAGGGCGAGCGTGAGCGCGTTTGTAGGCGCTGGCACGGGGGGGAGTTGCTTGGTGATGGGACTGATTGCTTTCCCGACTCCACGGCGATGAGGGAGGGTGGGATGTTAACACCCTAAGCGAGGGGACTTGGTCAGAGCAGACCGCGAAGGCAAGGAAGGCACCAAATCTGAGGAGGTATTCTGTGATAAGCAGAAGTGACTTTAAAGTGTGTTTTGTGAAACGCCGAAAGCAGGGCACAGCCGCGGCGAGCTCTGAGAATAGTCCCTTGCTGAAAATGGGCTGTAGGGAATGTTTACATTGAATTCACTCTCTTCCTTTTTGATTCTAATTTTAGACTCAGTTAAAAATATAACACTGAAAACATTCATGACACCTTAAAAAAATATAGCCTGTTCCATGTCACATGCCAGGAAAAACAAGGGTGTGGAAAGACAGATGGCAAAAAGTATGGATTTTGAAGGTTCTGGGAGCCGTCTGTCTAATGGCAAAGCATGGCAGCCCTTCTAGAAGCCCATAAGAATAAGGGTACCTCGTCCAGAGCGGTGGGTCATGTTAGCGAGTGTGATCCCTTGAAGAGGAGGGTCTAACAATGCTTGCAAAGAGCTGGCGGTGCTCTTCAGATGCTGTCCTTCTTATCCTGCATATGGGATTTCCTTTGTTTTCTTTTACATCTTGGTATGATTGCAGAGCCAGTATCTTTCACTATGCTCATATAGTATCTAAAAGTCACCTACTGTTAATTAACTTATGTGGCTTCTACCAGAAAAAAACAAATACCTGCTTCTACATTTGTGATCATCAATTTAAAAAGAACAGTGCTGCTTTTAGTCTCCTCATCTATATCCTTTGCTATGGGATTTGCAAGAAGCATTTGAAGTACATAGATACTTAGCATCGTGGTTCCAGCCAGCTTTGTGCTACAAGGCTGCTGCCTGTGTTTCACCTGTCAGGAAAGTGTGACGATGTGCAGTGCACACATCACACCTAGAGTAGAGAACAATATGGTCAAGCTCAGTTTTGTTTACTCTGTGATACTAGAAATTCTGGGTAAATATTTGCTAGTAATAGACCATAACTCCAGGTGAAAAAGAGGTATAGAAGGACACAGGCCAGTGAATGTGATTGTGCAAGCAGTATTTGAAAGAAAACCTAAACAATTAAGTTAGTACTTGTGGAAGTCCATGACTACGGGAAGTACATATGGTCAGCTTTCCCAATCTCAGCTCTTCTGTGCTTTCTGCTTTGAATTATGTGGATCTGGAAGGAAAGTAAGCACGTTGTAGGTTGTTGTGCTGCGCTGTATGGAAATAATTTCCTGCTTGACAAAACAGCTAGAAATCCCATCTGAAATTTGGCAAGTTGTTTTCTTTCCCCTCTTCCCCCAAAATACAGCTATGATACAGATAACGTTGCTGTTAGCATTTGTGTAGTCATTAAGCAAAGAAAGCATGGTTCATAAAAATGCTTGATGCAGAGTGTTTAATTTTGGAAGCAGCTGCCTCTACTGACTTCCTCCTTAACTTCCAAGCTGAAGTTAATATAAATCATATTTCTGAAGAAGAGAGATTCCACTTGTTTTGGCATCCTCCATTTCCATTTTAGTTCTTCCAACTGCACTATTGAGTCTTGGAGCCTTTCCTGGCTCCTCATCTGATAGCTTCCTCTCCCCTTGCTCCCTTGCTGGCATTCGACCTGATTCTTGGACATTTGCCCTGGCTCCCTAATTGTTTCTCCTTGTCTTGCTGTTACAGAACCACTGCGGCTGCTCTCTTGCCATTTCAGTTCAACTTTCCAGGCTTGCAGATGCTTCACCTACAGAGCTTTATGATCGTGCTGTCTTCTGGTATGACAGCTTACTGAGCTGTAATGCTGCTGTCTTGTGAGACGTAATGGCTGCACACACCGTGGTCACCCCAGCCTGTGTTCAGGGCAGCTAGGTTGGTCCTGGCTGCTGTCCCTGTCTCATGGAGAGATGGAGAGTAGTCTGTGTACCTTAGAATCACTTGTTGATGTTGCAGTGCTTTCAGTGTGTGTGTATTGGTCTGATGATGTTCTTGCTGACACCTGCTCCAAAAGCTTCATGTTTCCAGCCACAGCTCATCTTCCCTGTTAACTGATGTTGAAATCTGTAGTGATCTACCTGTGCTTGCTTAAGCATGGAAAGTTGATATCTTTCACCTTGTGTTCTCTGGAGGACTTGGCAGAAAACAAAACAAGGATGAATGCTGAAGATACTGATTTACCCATCCATGATTCTCACCATTTCAATCCCATTTTCATGCATGTGATCACTTTGATAAAGTGGTCCAGAGGATATATATAGAGGTCTTCTACCTCTGGACAATTGGCTCTCTTTCTTGCTCCCACCATTTCCCATATGTCTTTTCTAACACCAAGCTCATCTCCTGAACTTGTAAACCAGGACTGTAAGTTCTCAAAGTGTAAGCATCGCTTACATTTTCAAAACACTTTCAGTATGGTGGCTGTGTGGGAAGGCGGTGATGGAAAATAGATGTGCAGTAACAGGACCTTACTATAGGAGCATCCTATAGCCATGATCCAGTCATTTCGTCATGACTGAGCACTGCAGCACCATGCGTGACTCTTAGCAAATGCCTGATCTCAGCTGAGTGCCACTGCTCATTCTCTTGTCTTCACTGCGGCATTGCTAGACATGGAGTTAGTAACTGAAGCTGTACATGCACTGTGGATGCCGTTCCAAAAGAGGATCAGTACCAGGACACCAGAGCTGTCTTTTTAGTCTCCCATCTTGCTGTCAAAAAGTTGAAGATATTTTAGAAGTCTCAAAAAGCCTGATGAAAGAAGTGGAAGTACAGGAATGGGGCTCCCTGATTCCCCAGATGACACTTGTCTCTCAAGCACAGAGTTGGGTGGCACCCAATTCACTTGGCATCTACCTGTGTGCACCATGTTGTCAATGCTGAGGTAGCATGCAAGAGCTAACACCAGCCATTATGTGTCCACCGTTGGCCTCACAGTGTCAAGTTAAGACCTTTATATATCTAATATAAATGGGCTATTTTTGGAATACACCATAAATTATGAGCCATCACGAGAAGAATAAATGGAAAACCAGCAGTGTGTGAGAGGCTACCACCCTTTGGCTCTGTAGTGGTCAGCTTATATTAAGGATCTGATTTGGTATTACTTGATGCCACTGAATCCTCCTTGTTTAGTTCAGTGAAAGGTAGTTTAAATATTCGGTTTACAACAAGTTCTCGCTATTCTCTTAATACTGCTCCCCTATTCACAAGTGTATGGCATAAACATGGATTTAAGTTCTGATTTTCCTTTTTTTTTGAAGGAATGTTGAGTATTTGAGTGGTACTCAGCAGCTGAAAGGATTTGGCTTGAAATAACTAAACTTTTAATTGACGAAAATGCCACATGCATTAGTAAGTAGTAAACATGTGGAGGAAAGAGAGTTTGGTTAGCTTCATTCTTTTAACAGGGAAGCTTGACTTGCCTGCCCCAAAGCAGGTAGGGTATTTGTGTTGCTTAGCCTTAAGAAGTTTGGCACCAAGCCAAAAGATCAACCCTTTTATCTCTTACTTAAAAATGCTTTAAAGCAACAAATATTCAATATAGCAAGAACGTTTATGTTGGGACTTGCAGATTATAGACTTGTGCTTTAAAAAAACCCAGAAAATGAAGGGCAGCTTTGTGAGCACAAACCCCAATAACCAGCAAGTCTTGTTCTACTAACACGTCTAAGATGCATTTGTTGGCAGGTTTGTGACTACCTCGTTACTGTCCCCTGCTCTGAGCTACGGTCATGTCAGATACACTGGCACGTTTCTACCAGTGTCTTCCATTTTGAAATTCAGATGCTCTTTTGCAGCAAGCTGCCTACATATAGCAAATGTAATTTGTGATTCTTTTTTAGATACTCTGCAGCTGGTTATTGAAATCAAGTGTATGACCAGTTTTTTGCTTCTCTTTCTCCTTTCTTTTTCCAGCTATGAAATACGTTGCATGAGGCCCCGTTTCTTACAAATAAATTCTTTAGCACTGGTGAACAAAAGTTTGTTTATTTGCCTTCTTTCTAGAAGAAGGCTTCGTTGTGTGCTGAAACAACAGCTGACCAGATATGGATCTCTTCTAATGTGGGTTGATGAGAAATGGCCTTGAAGCTTTTTTGTCTAAAATTTCCACTCGTAATTTACTTCTGTGAATATTGAAATGGTTGATGCCTTTGCTCCCGTTTCCTTCAAGCATGAGAGAACTTGTTTATTCAACAGAAGGCAAAGTTATTTCTCAGATTTTGTTGGTGATAAACATGAATGAGGCACATCAGTCAGGAAACTGTTGAACTGTGTTGTTCTCTTGCTTCTCATTTGGCCCTCTGCATGTCCTGTGTGTGAGAGCACAAGAGATGGAAGGATGTAAGCCACAAATTTCCTTCCCTTCCCTAGCAATGGACAAAATCTGACAACTGTCTCCATCCTAGCTTCAAGTATGTTTCAAGTAACCACAGACATCAACTCCTTGAAGCTTTGTATCCTCAAACCATGTCTTATCCTATTTTATCCTTTACTAGATCCCATGGAAGATCACTTGAATGTGGGCAAAGCTCCTCTAGCTTACTGGCTCTGAGGTGTGCTGGGCCATGCAGGCTGAGATACGAGACATCTTTTAAGTGATAAAATCTATGGCCCTTTTCTTTCATAGAACTGCTCCTGCCTAACAGGTGTCTACTACTTCCCTCTATTGAAATAATCTATGACTGCCTTAGATTTTGTCTCTGACAAAAACTTTTTAACAACTGGTACCAAAATACCATTAATTCGTTTCAGGAGCTTTTTGTCTGTCTAAGCTGGAGGTTGAAGTTACAAGTTGAGTCACCAGCAAGTGAAGTGGGGTTGAGAAGACATCAGATTCTATGAAGTGGGAAGCTGACTTCGGCTTTGTCCTGTGGGGAGTGGTGTATCCTGGGGCATGGCAACCTCATACCTTCACTCTGCCTTTCCCATGCTGGTTTTCTACCCATCTGAGGGCAGCCTTTTGTCAGCAGGGCTTGCTGGCAGCATCAGTGTTGTCACTGAGTTGAGGATATGCAGGGAGAGTTGGGGAAGAGGTGTCCCTCCTAAGTGCTGTCTACAGTTGCCTCAAATACAGGAAAACAAAGAAGTGCTGTCTCAGATGCAGGATGAGGATTGTCTTGGCTTGCTCCCAGATTTAAAACTGGTCCACAGCTGGTTTGCATGTCCTGTAAATGGCAGGAAGTTAGAGCTTCCTTTGAACTCCTTAGGTAAAACCCACTGACATTGTGTACATGCCTGGAGCTTTAAGGTGCTTTGATGGTCTGAAGGGGTGTACACTGATTGCTGGATTTCATTTCTGTTCTTTACTGCTGTGGGTGAAGTCAAGTACTGATTTGTCCAGACCCCATATGGACAGAAGGGTTGTGGTCCTGCCTTGTGTGTGTGAGTCAATCCTGTGGCTGGGCTCTCCATTCTCTCTTCCCTCCTGAACTTTGATTACTGTCATGTGTGCTTCAGAAATGAAGTGCCAGCTCCACCATTTTCAGAGGCAAAAGGTGCAGTCCTAAAATGATTTTGGAATAATTTGATGCTCACATGCCGCAAGGCATCCCACCTAAGTGGTGTGGTGTCCTCGTGCGGTCAGTAGCACTCCACAGCGCAAGTACTGACAGAACACATACTATAAAGCAGACTTTTATTCCCTTTTATTCCCTGAAATGTTAATAAATGTGAGCATCTATTTCCTGGAATTAAGAGAACCTCGTATTACACTTGTGTTCTTGACAAAAATTTCCTGTACCAGATTTCCTTTTTGGCCAGAATGTGTGGTCCAGCAGAGCCCAGGCTTTTCCTTTTAGATGATCTCCATCAGCCCAGTTCTTTTTAAGAGCATGGGATCACCCTCCTATATACCACAAATACTGTGCTGCTAGAAACCCTGTTTCACAGATGAGTAATAGTTGGAGAATGACACTTTTTCATGTTCAGGAGGTGGTTTCAGACACTTCTAACTGTGATTTCATCGCCCTTGGCCAGCAAAATCTGTCAAGGTGGTAAAGTAAGAGATGGCAGATCAGCAGAATGCTATCAGATGTGTGAGAAATGTATTTCTATAAAGGCAGAGGTCAGAAATAAGAGAAGGGCAGTCTGGTAAGATGTGGGATTCCTGTGTTAGCTTAAAACATGGTCTAGTTCTGTTTTTCTCTGAAGAGCAAGAGTGTGAAACAAGCACTGCAAGTCTTGTCCTGTCCTCTCCATCCCTGTGCATGGTTATTTACAGCCTTTCTCTTTCCATTTGCTGTTCTGACTCCTGTTCTTCCCTGAAGTAGCGGGGTGTCCAAGCAGTGGTATGGAGAGGGCAGCTCATTACCTCTACCAGCATGAACATCCAATGTACAAATAAGTCTGATCCACCACTAGGAATAGAAGTGTGATCATTTTGTTGCAAATCTTGAACAAATGTGAACAGCAATTATTTATTTGTTGATTTTTCACCCCTTTTTTTGATGTGGGTCGTGTGTTTCTGGAAGGCACACTGTGTGTGAAGAGATTGGTTAAATTTCTCCAATTCAGATTATTTCTGAAGAAATAGCTTCTTAAAAGAAGCTATTTCAGGTTGGGATTTTACTCTAGACATGGTGTGGTTCTTTCAACAGCACTGAATACTTTGGAGTGATTGTCATTGAAGTGGTGTAATGATGTGTCTTGTCAGGGCTGGATCCAGCTGTGGTGTGGCCTGATGGACACACAACTGATGCACTGCCGCATGACTGCCTGGTTGCACACATGTTTTGGTCTGTGAAGGGGGAGAAATGGGACTTTATTTCCCTAAGGCCTCTGCTGCTCTTGTTATTTCTGTCCCTGTGTGTTGCCAATGGCTACCAAAGAAAATGCCTAGTAGAAAACTGGAAATGTAATACATTTTTAAAGCTATTTATAGAGAAGCTGTTTCAAGAGGTTTAGACCACCTTAAACCTTCATGTATTTTGTAGGTTAAATTGGTATACTAACTGATAATCTTCCCTTCAGAGAACTTGCTTTCAGTTGGTCTTAAAATACAGTCAGTGCTCTCTATAAGTAGTGCTTCCATCTTTTAGCCAGTTCTGTGGTAATGGTTGTGCTTCCAGCAGTGCAATGTAATTTCATTTGTATGATGCTCCTGAGCAGGTAAAGCTGCTCTTCTAATTTTTAGTCATTCTTGATTTTTATTTCAGGACATAACTTGGCAAGATGAACACTCAGCTCCATTCTCCTGGGAAACAAAGGTAAATACGCACCAATTTTATTTTTAATGTTGGTTTGTCATTTTGTACTGTTCCTTGTGCACTTACACTGTCTTTGTTTTGAGACTTGACGGAATAATGTCACCTTTATTCTGTGAGAGCTGTGCAAAGTGACCATCCTGCAAATGAAACAGGACTGGTGTCTTTGATTTACATCAGAAACACAGAATGTACTTCATGGACCAGTGTTCTGGCCTCAAGTGCAGGTGTAATACTGATTCATTACAAGTTACTTGGTTTTTTGTTGTTGTGAACTTTTTAAACAACTTTCCATATTTAACACCACCAGTGTCTCGGATACTGTATAAACATAACTGCATTTCACTTCTGACATCAGGAGTAAAGTAGCTAGGAAATGGGGTGAGAAAGTACAGATAACTAATAACTTAATTGCATTCTTTGTTAAAGCCTTGTCTTCAGCTTTTTGTTACATGCTAGAATGTAATAAAAAACTGTTAAGCCTGGGGCTATGCTAGAATTGTGTTATTTCTTCTCCAAAAAATAATGAAATAAAGGATTTTCCTATGGTGGGTTTCATCCCTCTCTTCCCCCCTGTACCTCTGGTGTTTTGTTAAAAGCATTGTTTATGATGGGATTCTCATAAGGCTAACACAGAGCCAGAGTTTTCCATCTTTCTGAACCTGCAGTGTGAGGAAATACAGTTGCACCGTGTTTGTAGCTTGAAATCAAGTTTAAGTCTTCTTGGAAGAAAATCTGGGAGCAAAACCACAGCCTTTCGAAACTGGGTATGGTGGGCTTGGTAAATTTAATCACATTTTAAACTCTCTGTTTTCTGGCTTTATCTGCCAGAGAAAGCTGCTTTTCCCCTGTTTCTTCCAATTTTTGCCCTTGAACTATGTAGATAATCTTGTCTGACCTTACAAATATAATCTTAGCCTAATGCAGAATAATTATTTAGAAATGCCAGTGAACACTAAATCCGGTTGACCCTAGACGACTTGTCAGCCTTCCCAACTCAAGGTCACTACTGGCAGCTAGCACCCCTTCCCTGCTTTTCAGATACTAATTAACCTACAACTTGATGTGACTCTTTGGTCCCTGCAGTCTACAGTGCTGCAATTTAAGAGATACCAATGCCAATCTTCACTTGCATTAAAACCCCCTTACAAGCTGTGGTAGAGCCAGTGAAGGATTTCCTGCAGTGGAAGTCTGGTAGCTCAGGCAAGTCCTCCTGTCTTTCAGGACCCTTAGTAGAAGCTGCCACTGTTTTTTAGTATAATGCTAAAGAGGTTTTCAGCATCAGTGAAACTGTCAAGAAAAGAAAAGTAGTGAAAAGAGTGTAGAGCTCACTGACAGTAGGGTGAAATAAATCATATGTTGGAGACAGCAGTGTTGTCTCTCCCTTACTTTTTGGTGCAAACGCTAAAACTCAGTTTTGGGAATGTGATAGCTGTAATCAGACTTGTAGGCTCTGTCTTGATGGGATTTTTAAAGGTCTGAATATGTGAACTTCTAGAGATAGTGCTTTGTGTAATGCACTGACTAGTGATCTACAATGAGATGCCTCTGTGCTCAAATGGATTTTCTCTTTAATTGATAGTTGTCTTTTCTTTTAAATACTTGTATGTCTAATGAAGTGTTTTTTAACCAAGTCGTGGTTTATCCCTTGCTGATTAAGATTTATTTTTACCTTCTTCCTGGTGTCTCAAAATAAGGGACCGAAATGGATAGGTGCTCTAGTTTCATGCTTCTCTGTGATGAACGGAGGATCACAGAATGTTATGGGAACACTTGTGACTGATGAGAAGAGTGAGATTGGAGGAGGTTGCTTTAGAAATAGTTGTTTCAGCTAATCAAGCTGTGCTTCCCTCTTTTTCACTGCTCCCTGCTTGCTGACCAGAGATAAAAGCTGTGCCTCAGCTGTAGGTTTAGAAGTTGCATGAGTTTTTCCTCTAGCAAAACTCTGGAGAGTTTTGTCTGGCTTTACAGGGTGTGTTGGTTGGATTGTGTGGGTTCTTCCTTTTGTTTTTTTCCCCCCGTGCCTCATACTGTGTCAGCCTTTTAGCCAAATCCTCCAATTGCTGAGTCTTCCATTTCTAAAGGTGGAGATCCTGCTTTGTGCTTACTCTTTGATCTCTTCCCTAACCAAGTACTTTAATGAGATAATTATGGAAGGCAATTTCTCCATGAGGTACTGGCTGAGGAAAAAGTATCCTTGCCCAGTTGGTCTAGCGTGGGGAAACAGTGAAGAAACCTGAATGAGCTGTTTAATGAGGCTGTTATGTTGTAATGCACATTCAGTGCCTTGTGAGCCAGATCTGTTCCCACTGTTACTTCAGTCTGTCAGGCTCTTTCCATTCCATGAGCTCTACCCTGTGATGGGTTGTTCTTTCCATAACATTCTTTTCCCCAGTCTCCCTTTAATGCAGAGTTTTTGGTTTCATTATTGTTGTGATGGCGAAATTCCTTCCTTCTTTTGCAGCACTGCGTGAATGTGCTCTGGCTTACCCAAGGAAGGGAATGTGGTCTTTGCCTTCTGATTTTGAAGAGAAGGAGCAAATAGAGAAGTAAATCAGTAAAACCAATAGGCACCTTTTATTGTTTGCTTGTTTATTTTGACATTGAGACATTTAAAATACTAGTATTTTTAGTAGAAAACTGTAGCACCTCTCAGGAGGAAAACTAGTTGAGAAGCAATGCGTTCTCATGGCATCGCAAATAAACTGACTTTTTAAAGCTAGAGATCGAATTGGGAGTGATTTGGTTTGTGGGTGGAGCCCTTACGGACATAACGTATCTTGAAATATGGGTTATGGTTTTAACAGGAGCTAAAGCCAGATTGATGAACTTAGGGCATTCTATTTATGGCTTCAGGTTTAAGTGAGATGAAAGCTGCCATTTTGGCTGAGTTTAGCCTTTGAGGTTTCTTGGTTTGTTTGAAGTAAAAAGTCAGTGAAACTCGGCACGGACCCCAAGATATAAATGGAAAACAAGACTCACGCCTGGGTTTGGAAATAAAAATTCTCTGCAGCTCTTCCTGAACTTAGAACTTTCTGGTTTTGATGTGTTTAAAAAAAAATAAAAATTAGTAGTGGGCGGAAAATATCATTTCAGTCTGCCACCTCAGCTGACATCCTGAATGCACAGAGCAGCATGGGAACAAGCTGCTCATCATTCATGCTCTTAACTGAAATAGGGTTTATTCCAAATGCTTAAATTTGACACATGCGCATCCAAAAATTTGTTGGTCTTGAGACAGGTAGACTAGTCGTGAAGGCAGTTTAGAGAGTCCTTTTTGTACTTTTCTCTTTTTAACTTCTGGCTTTTTCCTCCTTCAGCTCTCCTACTTTCAACAGGCCCTCAAATGGTTGTTGAAATGAGAACCCTTTGAGGTGTGTTTGAAAACAAACAAACCAAAAGCTAAAAGAGAAAACGTCAAGCTTCAATCCCTTCAGTAATCTGGTTGCTGCCTCCCTGTCTGAATTCCTTAATTACATTGTATGAAAGTGATCTGATGATCATTTAGAAAAGAAAAAATAATGTTGCACTTAGAAAAATTGTTTTGCAAACTCTTTCCTTTATCTAAAAGACTAAATATCCTTCTTTGTACAAGTCCTAGTTGGTTTGGGGCTTTTGTTTGCTGTTGCTTTTTAAATGTGAAGAAAGTGGCAGAAAGAATTTATCCCTTCCTTCCTTAGCAGCCTGATATTGGAAATTCTGTTACAAACCATACTTCAGTGTGATTATTTTAATCAAGCTGGCATAAATGGCAGTGCTTCCTTGGAAGGAAAGAGGAGTGATACCTGAAGTTTTGGGGTTTTCCTTCACTTTTTGATCTAGACTACAGACATTTAAACAGTGTTCTATGATTGCTGTTGACTATTAGTTCTTGAGCAAAAAAACCTCCTAACTTGTGGTAATAGTAGCCGTGTTCAGGGTTTATTTTAATCTTCATTGCAAGATGTTCTCAGCTAAGGATTCAGTTACCTGCATCAGTCTTTAGACAGTTTATGATCATAAACCCATGCACATACCTGATACTGTCAGTATGAGTTTGCTCAGGCTGCCACAGTGATAGTGGCAGACTAGACTGCTGCTCTTACCACCAAAGAGCAGATCATTAAATTCCCTCTGATGCTCCATACTATATACCTTTGGTGTTGCCTTCCTGGGTGGATGAAAATGACAGATTGGTTTTGAGTGCTTTGCTCTAGTTTTGTCCTCACAATTGGTCTCTGCTGACCTAAGGATTTCTTTCTGACTGTCAGGAGATCCTGAAAACAGCAACGGTGTGCACAGGAAACAAAGCAAAAACCGCAGCTGCTTTGGGTCCCATATTTATTTTGGTTTTGTCCATTCAGCAAAGCAAAGTCATCTTCTAGATCACTTTAAACTTGGCTTTCTTACCTCTGCGTATCAGGCTGTGCTTAAAACAAGTTGCTTTTGACAGTGTTTCTGCAGTCTTTGTCTCAACGATTTGGATTTTTCAGGCTGCCAAGCAAAACAATTTGTTTTGGCTGTGTTGGCTTGACTGCTTAGTAAAATACTACACATTCCTGGTAAGTGAATAAGATGCTTAAAAAAACACACCAACAAAACCCAAAAAAGCAAGCTCCTGGGTTCTTTGTGGTCATCTTGTTTTTAATATAAACTTATGAACTGAGTCCTGATTTTATACAGTATTATTAAATCATTTAGTTCTTAGTGTGTGGTGCTTCTCTTTTAGAATACATGGTTTCCCATGAGTATGTACAGTCGGTATTATGATTTGGTGGATTATCCCTGCCTTGAGACTGAAGTTATGTCTAAATTTTTTGATCCAGTGAATAGAATTCCTGAGTGCCATAATATCATCTTTTAAGGAAACATGGGCACAGAACTTCCTAAACCCCACAATGTGTAATATGACTTATTAGACAGAAAGATGATCCAGCACCTAGTCATCCTTTATTTTAACCCTTGGAATGGTTTGGGACCAGAGAGATGAGACTGAAAAGAACAGACTTCTAGGTTTGTGTCGTCCCCCCCTTATGTGTTGACAATGACTTTCTCATGCAGTATCTTCACAATGCTACTGCTGTTAATAGCTTTTATTTGAATTCTGATAACTTTTAAAAATTGCAGTTGGGATTGTACTGGCCTGTCCGTAAACTCTCAAGGCTTTCTGGGCTCAACAGTTCCCAGAAATACAAATGGTGGGCAAAAAAGTATTTGTATTTAATTCTTTAGTTGGGGAATTAACAGTACAGAAACTGCAGCTCATTCATTCAGTGTCATACAAAATCAGTGAAAGCAGCTGGAGACCGAAACCCTAGATTGAGAATCCCAAACTCTGCCTAAATCACAGAATCACAGAATCCCAAGGGTTGGAAGGGACCTCAAGAGACCATCTAGTCCAACCCCCCTGCAAGAGCAGGGTAACCTAGAGTACATCACACAGGAACTTGTCCAGGCGGGCCTTCAATATCTCCAATGTGGGAGACTCCACAACCCCCCTGGGCAGCCTGTTCCAGTGCTCTGTCACTCTCACAGTAAAGAAGTTTTTCCTGATATTCACATGGAACCTCCTATGCTCCAGTTTTCACCCATTGCCCCTTGTCCTATCACTGGACATCACTGAAAAAAACCTAGCTCCATCATCCTGACACTCACCCTTTACATATTTGTAAACATGGATGAGGTCACCCCTCAGTCTCCTCTTCTCCAAGGTCCCTCAGCCTCTCCTCATAAGGGAGATGTTCCACTCCCTCAATCATCTTTGTGGCTCTGCGCTGGACTCTCTCCAGCAGGTCCCTGTCCTTCTTGAACTGAGGGGCCCAAACTGGACACAATATTCCAGATGCGGCCTCACCAAGGCAGAATAGAGGGGGAGGAGAACCTCTCTTGACCTACTAACCACACCCTTTTTAATGCACCCCAGGATGCCATTTGCCTTCTTGGCCACAAGGGCACATTGCTGGCTCATGGTCATCCTCCTATCCACCAGGACCCCGAGGTCCCTTTCCCCTTTGCTACTTTCCAGCAGGTCAACCCCCAACCTGTACTGGAACCTGGGGTTGTTCCTGCCCAGATGCAGGACTCTACACTTGCCCTTGTTGAATTTCATCAAGTTTCTCCCCGCCCAACTCTCCAGCCTGTCCAGGTCTTGCTGAATGGCAGCACAGCCTTCTGGTGTGTCAGCCACTCCTCCCAGTTTAGTATCATCAGCAAACTTGCTGAGAGTACACTCGGTTCCCTCATCCAAGGTCGTTGATGAAAATATTAAACAGCACTGGTCCCAGCACCGACCCCTGAGGTACTCCACTAGTCACAGACCTCCAGCTAGATTCTGCACCATTGACTACAACTCTCTGCCTTCTTTTGACCATCAGATCTTACCACAGTATAAGCATTTGATTCCTTGGGGTGGCAGCTGGTAGGGTGCCACAAGTGCAGTTCTGCTGCTAAATGCTCAAGTGCACACAGCACAGCTCACAGCAGTTCTGTCTCTGCCTGAGAAAAGCAAACGTGTGGTACTGCCACCATAAGTTTGATGGGGGCCAGGAGAGATGTGCATCAAGATATTCTAATGACTGGCTGGCTAATGGAAAAGGAAATGTTTTTTTTGGGGGGGGAACTGTCTTTAAAGAGTCACCCTTCCCCCTACTGCTGACCCAGTCAATTGTCAATTTGCAATCTGATGTAAGAAACTGAAAGCAGAACACTAATTAACTTGGATTTCTAATGTCTAGTGACTCGTTAGAATGTACAGTATTACTCACAACTTAGATGTCAACCTGGGGTATTTCACATGTGGGTCTTCTCCCTCTGTACATGAAATTGTCTCCCTCCTTGTACATGAAATTGTCTCCCTCAGTGCTGCTCAGTTGTTGGTTTTGGTTTGTTGTTTTGTTGTTGTTCTGGTTTTTTTGTTGGGTTTTGGTTTTGGGGGGGGTATTTATAGTATTTTATTGCTAACTCTGTGACTTGAAAGATACTGCATATTAATAATTTTCTTCCATCAGCTACATTTCATAGGGATTCAGATGTCTTAAGTAAACTTGAAAGTCGAATAGAAGTATTACATGTTTCAAGGAAAACAGGGTAACTTGTGACTGGTCCACAGAAGTTCTTGGCTTCTTGAGCTAAATGGTAGAAGCAGAACTGTATATCTGACCTCTTGGGGCTGTATTAACATCATGCTGAGATGCAGTGCTCTCAGAACCTGTCAGGGTGGTCTTATCTTCTTTGCTTTCCTTGGGGGAGAGGGCAAACTCCTGAAGAAGTATTTTCATTCCTGTTATTCCATGTCAATTCATGACTTGTTTGATCGCCAAAGCACACTACGACACAAACATGCAGTCATAAATGTTGAGTTGTCCTGTTTTCTGAAATGGAACATCATGTTGTTTCCTTTCTAAAAGGACAAAGAGGGCATCATCTCCAGAACATACTCAGGAGTGGGCTGGAAAGGGTACAACTGCCTGAAGTTGTGCTGTAGTACCACACTCTTCTCTACACTCGAAGCAGTCTGCCACTTTCAAACCAGACCTCTGAGCTGATATTTGGATCCATACGTAACTTAAAACATGACCACGGGCAGTGGCTTTTGCTCCACAGCATAAGAACTTCGCAGGAAGCTTGACTTTGCTTGTCTGTCTTGATGCCATTTCTAACTTTTGTTCTAACAGACCCTTACTTCTGTTCTATCAGTGTTTTTCTTGGATCTTATTTCCATCACTGTTCTGGTGGATCTGGGGCTGTGCTGGCCCCTCTGCCTTCTGGGCACTGACTTTTCCTTTCTCTCTGGCTGGAGGGTGAAGGAATCATATTAGTGAAACTGACTGCTGATGTAGTGGCCTTTAGGTACTGTCATGTCTAATGTGAGTCCTGGGGCAGACAGCTGAGAGGGAAGACTGTGGAAGGATGGAAAGCAGCACTGTTTTAATTCCTAAATTACAAGGTAGAAGTCTTCCAGGATGGATTCCCCCTCACTCCCCTCTTTGGATATTGGGGAAGTACAGGTTTATTTCATATTGTTGCTTTTTTTTTAAGCTGGGATTTTTATCAGTTCTGAAGTCTTAAAGCATCTTAACCTCAGGATGGTAAATCTCTATTTTGTAGTATTGCCAAATAAGCTTAGGGAAATAAATCCCTATATTTTAATATAGGGAATGGCAGTCACTGTAAATAATCCTCAACATCACTGAACCCATAGTTTGCTTACGCAGAATTTATTTAGGGAAAAAGATCCTGCTCTTAATTGTACGTGATGGGTTTTGTTTAAAAAAATAAAAATCAGAGCACTCAGATTTTTCCTCCTTGCAGGCAGGGTGGGGGGTTTGAGCTGTCTGGTAAGAGTTGCACATGTCCTTGCACTCACCTTAATTTAGCTGAGCTATAATTACACATCGCTTGTTTGTGTTCTGCATCTTTTGATAACAGAGGATATTGTTAATGAAAGCACGGAACGTGGTGCTTCTTTGCCTATAACCCTGGAAAAATATCTAAGGTATCTAACTGTTTAAAAAGGTCAGGTGCTGGTCCCTGAATCAAATTATGTGTCATCAGCTGCTGAGTGATTAAAAAAATTGGTTGATAAATAATCAGTTGCTGAGTTAACATTTGCACTTTGATGAGAAGTTTCTGAATATTAAACACTAGGCATGTGAGACCTGCCAGTTCTACAGTCCCTTTGAACTTAACATGCACAATAACGTAGCACTCAAGATCAAACACTTCTAGTGAAAATTACATGCAACTGGGACTTGTTTTAGACTCAGGCTCATTGGTGCTTTTGCAGTTTTACTCAGGAAAGGCAAGGTAATGAAGTAAAATGGGGAAAACATCACAAATCTGTAATGAACTTCAAAAGTATTTATTAACTGCTCGCATTTGAAATGTCTTTTGATTTTATTTTTCAGACATAAGCAGGTTTTGTTGCTTTATTTTTTTATAGTTTGTTCCATTTTACAAACACAAATCTAGCCATTAGATTGTTCTTTTCTGGCCCTTGCTATGGTGCTGCACTCCTAAATACAGTCCTCAGACTGAAATAAGGCTTAACTTTTATTAGCCTAAATGGGGTCCATCCAGTTAACAATCAAGGTTACTGAAGTGGTGGTAAGTAAAATGAACATTTACTGTTCGCTTCTGGGTGGCTTTTGCAAGATCTGTATCATGCTCAAAGTGTGGTTGTTTGCTTCCTTGACCTGGTGTTACACCTCAGAAATGAGTACAGTTATCTGCACTGCAAGGGAAAACAAAACAAGGCTCTGGAATAAGTGAAGAACTGGTCCTGTTGGAGTTGTTTCTTTTCCTTCAGAGGGGCATTAGAATTGTAAAATGCTCTTATCTACGCATACCCGTTACATCTAATCCTTTATCTTGGAAGTAGTTAGAGTTTTAACATGTTGCCAACTATTTTAAAGACTATAATGGAAGATTGCCTTTTAAACTACACTGTAAAGAATTTTTGCTTTATATTTTCATGTAAAACATCTGTGGCTTTCAAAATTCTATTCAGAGGTTTTATGGCTACGCATGCTGCGCACTGCTATCTTGGATGGCATCGGGTAACTCAAATATGATTGCTTTCTCTGACTCTTATGAACCAGGTCTAGGACTCTTGCAGTTCAGACTTTTAATAAATACTGTTTTTATGTAGCTACAAAGGTAGACATTTATGGAGAAAATATGTAGCTTTGCTGTGATATCTGCTATCTGGGAGTTGCTTATCTGTGGGTAAAGGTGTTTTCTATGTGAATCAAAATCAGAAGTTCAAAACTGTGTCATTGTGAAGAGCTTTGAAATACTGTATGTCTTTAACCCTGAACAGAGTCAGATGGAGTTCAGCATTGCATCTCTGTCCATACAAGAACAAGGTGGTGCCCAGTTGCAAAATGAACAGAGGCAGCCTGTTAAAGCAGCACCTGGTGTCCAAGTCCCTAAATCTTCTCAGGCCAATAAGACCCCTGGCTCTGATGGGTTGATAGCATCTAGAAAAGAAGAGGAGTCCTCTTTCTGGAAGATAAATGCAGAGCGCTCAAAGTTTGAAGGACACAAGTCTGAGTTTCAGTCCCTCACTCCCAGCCAGATCAAGTCCATGGAGAAAGGAGAGAAACCCCTTCCCTCTTTCTACAGACAAGAGTCTACTCCAAAGGAGATGGCAAAAGCTGAGAAGCCCAGCGTAACTAAACCAGAGAAGTCTGTTGCCCCCAGCCTACCTTCTGTATCTCTTGAATGGGAGAAACCTCGACCTGCTCAACTCCCTACTAGTCCTCTAGATGACTTCTTTCTTCCTGATGCACCACAGGACCTGGCATCTTCTAGGACAAACAAGGAAGATCCTGATGGTACTATACTTACAGATCCGCAAACACCTGGACAGGTAAGGACTGCTATATCCACTGTCCTTAGGTTTAAAAACTTTAAATCTAAGCATTACATTTTTAAAAAACTAAAAAGCACATGAAAATCTGACAAGAGTGCTCTAGAAGATTAGGGACTCCATAGAGCATTAAACCATAGCTGAGCTTGCTGGCTTTTTATCCTGCAAATCCAAAGATGTCTGCTTAACCAACATGTTAACTGCTATTGTTTCTTTCAGTCAAGTATTCTTCAATGTAATAAAGTGCGTAGGATAAAAGCATCATTTAAATATAATGCCAGAAACACTGACATGGCATCCAGTGGCTAACTGACAGCAAGCTACCTAGCAGTTTTGGGGTAAAGGGCTTGCTGCATCAACTAAAGAGTTTGGGGTTTTGTTTGTTTTTTGTTAAAACAGCAAAACATGGAAAAAAACTTTAAACCTTAAAAGTAGATAAACTAGAGTCTAGAATACTTCATTCGTACACACAGCATAGCAATGAATGTCAAAGTATTTTCTCAGCTCTTTTAAGTGGTAGCTCAACAGCCGCACCCCACTGCTTTGTCCCAGGCAGCTGGGCTGCTTTCAAATGTGTTGTTTCTCTAAGCTCCAGAATGGAAATGGAATGAGCGTCCAGAATTAGCCTTCTTAATGTTGTGGTTGTTTTTTGGTTTGAATCAAAAAATAACGTTAAGCATCTCAATAGCCAACTGAAGCGATTTAAAAAGCAAATGCTGATCTGTGAGAAAAGAAAGGGAACAACAGGATATGACATTATGAGGGAAAGAAGAGATGTGAAGCCTGAGAACTGTAAACTAGAGGAGTTGTTCTTCAAACAGAGCCATGCAGTTCTGTTTGGAACCTGTGCCATCACTCTGCCATAAGCCTGACATAGACTTCCATCATGTCACATAGCTTTTTCTCTCACATTTTCCCAACGGTGGTTGTTTAAATTCCAGACAAGATGATGTAAGGTCAGATATGCAGCATGAGGTAAATACTTGCAAGAGAAGTAAGTGGTAACACTTAGAAGAGGACAGTACTTAAGCCACTTCAATATTTGGAGCCCTATGTTGGGTTTGTTTTGTTGGGGTTTTTTCTCTGAAGCTAAGAGATAATGCTTCTTGAGCTGTTTTGCTACAAATTGTGACCGTGGTAATCCTTTAATTTTAGTTAAAGGCTTTGTCACGTTTTCCTACAAATTAATGGTTTGTTACAGTTCTCAATCCTTTGTGAATATTTTCTAGCTAAGTGAAATAGTTTGGGAAGCCTGATTTTTTTCTTTTTTTCATCCCTGTTGAGAAGCAATCCTCCCATGTCAAAATGTGAACAGAGCAGCAGAGAAGATGGTGTGATTGAATTACCGAATTTTCCTCCTTTCTTATTTCTGGATTATCTTCCCTGTTCTGGGGAGGATAATCCAGAGACTCAGCTGTGTCCCTGGATCACTTTAAATGTCATGGCTAGAAGTGCAGGAATGAGCACGTTCTTGATGGCCTAGTAAATAACTTGTCAACAAAGTTTAAAGGGTGTATAGTTTTCTGGAAACAGCTGGCTGTCATTCCAACAGGCAATCCATTGAATTAGTGATGCTTACATTGTGTTTCATTCTCTGCAATTCCCACTCTACTCTAAATATTGAAACAACATTTTGCCTGCAGACCTTTACAAGAGTTTTAGTTTTTATCTGGAATTGCCTTTTTGGTCATTGTGAGTATTTTTCCATGTTTAGCATTTTCTGGTGTAGGTTCTTAGGTATGCTAGAGCAAGGTAATGAAATGTTGGCAGGTGACATTTTAAACTTTATTTTGTAGATTGGTAGTTGAGTACTGAGTTTGTAATACTGTAATTAACAACTATATCTTATTTCTTGTCTGCCTTTTCTTTTTTTCTCTTGCAGACTAGTACAAGCAATGTTATCTTGAAGACTGGCTTTGATTTTCTAGACAACTGGTAAAATACACTTCAAAGTAGATCAGATCAATTTCGGGGAAGGAGTGGAATATCTTGCTCCTTGTACGTTAATTTACTAGCATTTGTGTCTTTTTCTAGAAGTAAATTTCAAACTCTTAAATGTTGCCTTTGTATAAACTTTTGTAATACCATATGCGGTTTTGGTTTTTTAAACAGTGATAGAAGTGTGGTTTCATTTGGGTATTTTTTTAATATCTGTTAAAATTTTTAGTAGCTACTGTATTGAGAGGATGCGAGAAGTTACCATACACATGTTAAAGAAAAACAGATGAGAGTCTCCACGTGCTACAAGTGGAACCTACAGGACCAGATTGCTGTTTTCAATCGAAATCCTGCTGGCATGGCTTGTAAGAGATAGCGTAGCACATGCAGTGGTTCCAAATAAGCAAGTAACTCCATACTTCAGAAAACTAGCAAAAACAGTATGAAAAAAAGCGTACAGATGAATTGCATTGATTTCTATACTTCATTTTGTTTGAAAGTAACTTTTGTACCACTTACTTGAAAACACTTTTCTTTTAAAGAGGGCAAAGGCATTGCCAAAACGATGGATCCAAAGAAGCACTGTGTTTGTACCCTACAAATCTGCTAAAATAACAAAAGTGTGTTAGAAAAATGACCTGGGGAAATGACAGCTTTTTCTGATCTTTGGATTAGAGACTCGGGGGTGAGTGGGGTGGAATGGGATAACACCTAATGAATGGGAGAAACTATCTTCAGGGAACACAAGCCTAATTATTTCACTGCCTCCTTACTAGAGAGTGACTCTTTGTGATAGTAGTGCTGGAAGGACAGCACTGAGAATTGCTGGAGTTTAAATTACCTTTGTGTCAGGCAACCACTATGTTTATGGGAGGTTATAGCAGTATAAGGCTTCTTTGTTTTTTAAGCAGCTTATCGTCTCAAGGACTCATCAACTTTGGTGCTTTTTCCTCCTTGTGGGTACATTCTCTTCAGTGTTCAAGATGTGGGTTACATTTGTTCCTGAGGTGCAGAGGCATCTCAAGGTGGCCCTCAGAAGACTTGCCTCCAGTTCTGCTTTTGAATGATCTTTGGTGTTTTAAATGTAGAGAACAAGACTAGCTGTTGTTTGAATCTGTCGTCTCTGAAATGCAGCATGATTTACACACTGACTCTCACTGTGTTTACCTCACCTTGAAGCCTTAATTCCCCCTACGCACAGCTAGTGACTGGTCTGCTCCAATGCCAAAGGTTTGACCTTTCCCTTTACCTCAGCAATAGTCCCATAGTATTTGTTTGGGGTAGAAGGCAAAATACAGGGGTCTAATGGGTCTCATGGGTCCCAGCCAAGGCTATGAAGGTCACCATCTCCTAGACCGTAATTGTGCTATGCTTCTCATGGATTAGCACTTGACATTTGGTTCAGTGCCAGGGGCAGTTAAATGTGCAGAATTGGATGCTGCAGGATTTTCTTCTGCCTGTTACAGGAAGTTTGAGATGTCCTGGAAAAATCCTTGCATCTAAGTGATGTGCTGCTTGTTCTGAACAAGAGCAGGATGTTGATAAATGTTAAAACTTACTTGTTGATGAAGGAAAATGCTGTAAGCAACCACCAAGCCCAAACCCCCAAGTTTTTCTAGTGTTTTCTTAAAAGATTTCTTAGCTAATGAGGAAGACTGCCACAGAGTTAAGTGATTCTGTAGCCTCCTTATTTATAGACTTCTGAAAGCTTCTTTACATCCTTGCTGAGATGTACAAACTCCTGTAACTGATGGATATTGTCTCTGCATTCAGCAATTCAGAAAGCACTTGCTGTTTCTGCCAGCCTGGACTTTATTGTGGTTTTTTCTTAGCTGACCATTTTTAGCATGTGCTACAAGCATCCAGCATTAATCCAGCTTAGAACAACTAAAGTTGCTAAAGCACAAATTCTTCGGGTGTGTAATTAGTGTTGACTTGCACCTTCTTTTCAAAGCTGACAGATGTTAACTCTGGGGCCTACAGTTACCAGTGAATCTCGTTTGCTGTACACTCAGCTGCTGAAAAGTTGTAAATCGAAGGTGAAGATGCACGTCCTAATCTTGCTTTGATATGGGGAGATCTAAAACCAAAGTCTCCTACTGACATTTTAAACCTCTGCTAAATACCTTAAAGCTTCTTAGGGAAGAACCTGGGCTGCCTGTCGATTCCATCGGCTAACTCGACCCTAATACACATTGGGACCAGCTGGTAGAACATGCTGCAGAACTTTTTACTTATCCTGGTAGGTTTTTCCTGTGCTTTGACAAGAGTTGATGCTCCTTCTTTCTTTAGTATGTTTTTATTAAACATTCTTACAAAAAAAAAAATGTACTGGGTCACATTTTATATTAACAATGTTTTAATAAAGTCACTTTAAATAGAACATTCAAGGCTTTTGTGTTGCTTTGTGTATTGTCCTTTAATCTCTGCTTTCCTCAGTGCCATTTGAGTTTCTTGGGGCATCTTGAATCTGCCTGAGAGTCAGCCAAGAATGATCTGGTCTAGAATTTAGAAACCCAGTTTTTCAGATCAGGAAAAACAAATCAATACAGCACAGTTGTTTCCCAGGCTTTTAAGTGAGGCTGTTTGGGAAAGTGTCTTTGCTTTGTCATCTTATCTTATGGCTGGGGACAGGTAAAGACTAAAATCTATTTGTAGTTCACTGTAATAAACCCAGTACACACACACACACACACAATATCTTCAGGTAATTCAAAGCAGTATCTGGATATAGATTGCAGGAGCTATTTGAAAATGGCATGTCATGGTTTAGCCCCAGGTGGCAACTGAACACTGCGCAGCCACTCACACACTTCCCCCAAGCAGGATGAGGAGAGAATCACAAGAGTAGAAGTGCAAAAATGCATGGGTTGAGATTAAACTAAAGACAGTTTAATAGGGAAAGCAAAAGCCATGAACACAGGCAAAGCAAAGTAAGGAGTTCATTCACTACTTCCCATCAGCAGGCTCACTGGACTTAGTGCAAAGGACCAGAACTTGGCAATGACAAACTTTCAGGCAGTTTTCCTTTCAGTTGATAGTTACATTATGGGTTTTAAAAGCATGTCACAACAAGGGAGATGCTAGCAGAGGCTACTGGGTAGACTCGCTTTCTGCCTTTTGCCTTATGCAGCAAGTTACCGAGGTGTAAGAGACTCAAATGTGCACCTACAAGGATAGTTTTCCCTCTGCATGCCCACATTCCCATCTTCCAGAAATATATTTTGAAAAACCATTTATTTATACTTGAGCTGAATTTCTACCAACAACTATAAAGGCATTTGAAGAATTTGGTTAGGAGAGATTCAACACTCGGTTAAAGGGGTGGTGTTACAGCTGTATTTAGGATATGGCCTACACATAGTTTGCTTCAGTCTTGTTTAAGCTCCATCTTAAAAGTCCTCTCAGAAAGGCATCTGGGTGCTGTCCCAGCACATGGAGTCAGCAGGTGGCATGACTGAGTGAAGACTGGCAGAGGCAGAGTAGAAAACATGCTATGGCTGCCTGCTGAAAGGTAGCGATCGATTCACTTATTGGTGACTTCAGTCATAGTTGCTAAGGTTCAAACAGCACAGAGGTGTCTTTGAGACCATGGCTATGGAAAATCACTGTTACTGTCCCCTTTCCACATACGAGCTTTACACCTCAGCACATAATATAACCAGCAGGTTCATAAGGAGGATTTACAGCTTCATCTGGCTTCCTACCATATGGGGAGCTCTGACAATACCCTCTAGAGTCAGTGGATGTGAGGTGGGAGATAATCACAAGATTGGTTTGCACCCCTAACCTAGCAGTTCCCCACTGGTACTGAACTGCAACCAAAAGATGCTGATCTGGGACCCAGTTTATTCCACCCTAACTGAGCAGGGAGGGAAATCTCGATTCTCTACATTCTTCTTCAACAGACCGTCTGTCCCCTAAAACTGTCTTCCAAGGGGCATGCTCCTTGTTCTCCTCTGTGCTCTTCACAGTGAAGATGCCAAGGCGCAGGCAGCAGCTCATCCTGCTCCTCACCAGCAACCTGATTTTCCTGCCAGGACAAGTTCCCATGTACAGCACAGCAAAGGTACCTTTTGTTAGGGAGCTGCTGGGCTGGACAATCACCTGTTACCCCTTAGCTAGGCTTGGCTGAGGCCTGGCAGACATGTCTCTACTCACCTTCAGCCCAACACGTAACTTCTCAAGCTTAGCAGTTTTCATTGAGCATCACTGTGAATTTTACTCTGAATGTCTTCTGGGGCAGAGGATTCCATTAGGCAACCTCTAAATCACAGCTTCTATCATCAGCTCTACTGCCTAATGGATGTGAAACTTGGACCTCATACAGGACCAAGATACTGGGCTAAATGCCCTTGGCAGGTCAGGATTTTACTGGGATGCCAACAAGTCAAAACCCATGTAGCTGCCCCGAAAATAGCTTACTGCAGTTTTCCTATAATGCTGGTTTCCAAAGTGAACAAGGGAATAAAGGAAAAACAAAATTAGATGGATGGGGGAGGGAACGAGTCTTCTGTGTGTTTTGGATGGTTCAATGATTTCAGTGACCAACCAGAGGCTTACACAAGGGCTGGACCTCAACCTCAGCTTCCCTTGTTACCAAAAGCGGCAAGAGTGCTGGCGACCCTGAAGTTCATCTGGCTATTCGCCTCCTGGGCTTGTTCTCTGTGATCCAATAACCAGAGTGAAGGCAGCCTCTGGAAATTTCCAACTTGCAGCTAGATATAAAGTATGTCACAGGGATTGTTTTCTGTTACGAAAAGATGCAGTGCTGTGCACCATTGCAGCAGAAACAGGAGAAGAAAGAGAGGTGGTGGAAGAAGGAACGATGTTCATATGGGAGGAGAAGACTCACCACATGGACCCTCTCCACCCTGACATTTCCTTGCTACGAGAGCTTGGTGGCAAACTTGTAGGAAGCCCACGCTTTATGACAGCTGTTTGTTATTAAAGGGTTGACCGAATGTCCTGCTCCCCTTGCCACGTTTTCCAGAGCTTACATCTACCAAGAAGGAAAATTCTGGTGTGTGCCCATAAGCTTATGTGTAAGAGAGCCTGCTCTGGCCTGGGTGTTGTACTGAACCCTTTGGCTTCCACCCCTCTTTGGCCAGAGCACAGATGTTTGCCCGAGCAAATGTCTGTGGCCAGTAATTACAGCTTCTTTTTCACTTCTCTGTCCTGGAGAAGCCAAGCTGCTGACAGTGATGGGTGCTCCCACCAGCCTGGCAGCAGTGCCTGCAGCGACCAGCAACTGCTGGAGGGACTGAGCTGCCCGTAGCTGCTGCCCAGGGCTGTGCCATTGCCTCCAAGCCCTTCAGCACATCCCATGACCTGCAGCCTCAGACACACTGAGCTGGCTCTGGGAACTGAATCTGGCCAAAGTCACAGCAGAAGTACCAATAGATGAGAGTTTCTTGGCCCACTGCCCTGCCAGCGCAGGAGTACTGCTTCTTGCTTGTCCTCTGTGTTTTGTCCTCCCTGGCTCTCATCTCACCGAGAGAACGGTCTTGCTGTCACTGAAGGTCACACAGCATCGTATCAGCATGAAGATGTAAAGTTGCAAGACATTTTAATAATATAGCTAGATGTCAGGTGCTTCCTTGCACCGAGGCACACTCAGCATATTGAATTTCATGCATATCTTGGCTGTATTTCCTCCAGAAACCACTAAAAGGAGTTGAGAAAGGGGAAGACAATGCTAGAATAAATAACTCTGACTGCCCTACCTTTGGTCAAGTTCCACCATGTCTCTACCACCACCCAAGCTTTGGGTCAACCTGCAAATTTTGGTACCAACTCAACTGATTGATGAACTCCAGCAACAGCACCAGGGAAGCTCCTCACCATTCACAGTTCACCAGTAACATTGCAAGAGCACAGACGACTAAGAACAAGCTTACCAAGGAGCTAAGGATGCTCCTGGATTGTCTTTCCACCAGCTGGTTCAAAACCAGTCCTGGCTGGGAGCAAGCAAAGCTTGCTTTATGACTTAGATGAATCAGCGTCTGACCTGTAGCCCTGTGCAGTCCCTTGTCACTGACATGTCCAGCATCTCTCTGCCAGGAATGATGTTTGCTCCCTGCATTCCCAGCATGGCAGGAATTTGCCCAAGCGCCAGGCCAGGTCCCTCAAACCTACAGCCATCCTCCACTGACTGAGAAGACCTGTCCCTGCCCAAACAGTGACTGGCTTAGATCACTTCTAGCAGCCATCCATCCGTTTTGGGTTATACAGGCTCTCCAGGGCTCTAGGAGGAGGTTGGTGCTGACGGGCAGAGCAGGAACTGGGGCTGTCAAGGTGGTCACTATATTGCTCACCTCCAGGCCAGCCTGCTCCAGAACTGGGCTTGGCCTTTTAAAGGAAGGCTTCCCGGCTCCCTCCCCAGCATCCCAGTTTGTTGTTGCAGAAGCAGCTCAGTGAAAGGCCCCGTGCCAGCATGGGAAGCTTTCCCTACGAGGCGTTCAGCTGTCAGGAGCATGTAAGCCAAGCACCAGAGCCCATCTGCATCCCCCTGGTGTGATCCTCATGCCCCTCAGTGCAGGAAAACATTTCATCTTGAGCTGTTACCTGCTTCCCAATGTTCTGCCTTCTTGCCAGAGCCCCCATCCCCGCAGCAAGCATCTCAGTGGCCAGGCCACAGGGAGGCTTCACCAGGTACAGCAAAGCCTCCTAAAACACTGCTTAAAACTCCCTGTGCAAAATTCTCACACATGCCTGGAAAACCAGGCACAGAAGTATTTGCACAGCACAGCCATTCCGAGACCACTGGATTTTTGTGGGCATTCTTTAAATAGGTTATTTTTGTCTCTCTCAACATCTTTATTTTCCACCCTAAAGGGTGCAGAGCTCTAAGATGATCAGGGCCAGCCCTCAGTCTCTTTGCTGGCATCAGCCCAGAGATGGACACTGGGGACCACAAGGTCACCAGCCTCCCACTGCCCTCTCATCACACCAGAGCCCAGCTCTTTCTCACTCCAGCACCACTCCCTGAAAACAAGCGGCTTTCTCCAGTGTAGAACCAGAAAAGAGATGGAAAAACTGGGTCGTGATGGAAAAATCCTGGTGAGAGAAGAAACAACAGAATCAGGGGTGGCTTCTGAATCTGGTCTCACAGGCTTTACCCAGCAGTCAGTGAATGCATTTAGAGAGGACTTCAAATGACATGAAAAAAACCCAAATCTTCCCCCTTTCAAATGTACAGATTCAGTTAAAATCCATAAAACCAACAGCGCTGAGTCCTTCTTAGTTCATTTGCAATGAGCTCCCCAAGGCATTGCTTTTGCTAGAAATACCATTAGCATTTACTGTTAAGTTCACTGGGAGGCACTTCTGGTTTTAATTATATAGCCCTTATAATGCTTCCTCTGGCACTCTCTTAGTATG